TTTATCCACATTTAGAAGAGTGAGTACCATTTATTTTTCAACATTAGGAAATTTAAAATTATCTATGAACACACTGAGTCCTTCTATCAGAAAAGCTGCAGGATCCTTAGGTTTTCTGGGTGGGGTGAAGGGATTTTTAAGACAAATTTCTATTGAACTTGTGTTACAATGTTCAATTTTGTCTTTTAGTGTAACTACTAAATTAATCAAATTATCACTTGCCAAATGCAGCTTCTGTTCCTCTTGCAATTATGCATTTCTTACACTTATAGAACAAATAATTTTGTCTTACAGTATATTACACAAAACATGAATCACAAATGTTTTAGATAAGAATTTTGATGATTTTTTTCAGAGCCAGAGGAATATTATAGGAATATTATAAAATGTAGTTATCCAAATGCTTTCATGCAAAAATAAAGCAAACAACCATAAATCACTAGGAAGTGCCTCTTCTTTTTTCTGTATGTAATCTATAGTGCTTCAGGAGTGTAAAGAATGAAGTCCCAGTGGATATTAACACTTGTTTTTGTTTTCAGGTGTTGGAAAGTTCTTTAAAACCATAAATTATCACTTTGGATGAAGCTACTATGTTAACTACATTTCCACTAAAATCCAAAAGTCAACAACAATTTTTGGAATTAAGTCAATTCCCACTGAATCTTCTGCTCACATGGATGTGACTTTACAAATGTTAAATCATTTAATCTTCAAATTTTCAGTAATACAAATTTCCCTCCTCATTTTACAGGCTATGTCTATGAACCATAATGTAAATATCTATACTTTCTGACATCTTAGGTGACCACTAGTCAACCCTCAAATAGGTCATGACCCACAAAGTAAAAACCACTGCTCTACTACTAACAGCTTTTGTGATATCTCTGTCTGGGAGCTAGGAATTAGCACTCAAAGACAGATAAGAAAAATAATTTATTTAAATTTACATATACATGGGGACCACAGCAAAAGTTATATTTTGTAAATTACATAATTCACTATTATTTGCAACTGATGAATTGGAAGTACCTCTTCTAAAACTAGAGAAGTGATATGCTAGACTCAGTGGAACCATAAATTTTGGTAAAGTCGCTTGAGTAAGAACAATGAAAGAATAGATTGGCTAAAATGTTAATGCCTGTATTTTGCCATATTTTTCAGAATTTCACAGACATATATGAAATGTAATGATATCTGCCTCCCAAAAACTTCCTCCATGCCCCTCCTCTATAATCCCACCTCCACATCTTTCAAATTTATGTTTCTTATAGTTTTTATTTTGATTTTGTTTGTTTGTTTTGATAACCAACTAAATTCAATTAGTACTGCCCCTATGTACAGAATAGTGGGCCATCCACTATTCTGTACATAGGAAATCCACTATTCTGCACATGGGAAACCTACCAGTTATGGGAAAAAAGAGAGAATGGTAAACACATTGGTCTCTGCACTAAGGTAAAAACTTTATAGATTTCATTAGACATGTGGGAGGGTGTAAAACTTACTGGAAGACAAGGACTTATTTATTTCAGTTCATTGCAACCTCAAGTATCCATCTCTATTGGCTAGAGCTATGTTTTACCTTAAGTTGGGAAAGGCATCTCTCTCAAAATACTGCAAATGGCCCTCAGTTAAGTACATTTCTCTGATTCCACTATGAAATAACGTATCAGTTTGGAATACTGAGATAAAAGCTTTGATTCTTTCAAATTACAATACTTGGTTGTTCACCATAACTTTGTTCCCTCACTAGTCATTGTACTTCTTAGATACTGAATGAAGCCTTTAACATTAGCTTTAATTTCTCAAGTGAAATAGCTGAAATTGTTAACATCATTCACTTGCACCCTTCTAAGATTTATATTCTATGAAACATGTTCTCAACATTTATGGAACAGATAAAGATTTTGAAAAGTTGTTGGTGAATACAGCAGTGACAGTTTACATTTGTATTTTGTAATCACAGACATTTCACAGAGAACTCAGCACAACATTGTTTTAGAAATGAATTGTAAGATAATAAACTTATCCTAATTTTAGAGGTCTAGAGGATGAGATGAAGACTAAATATGATGATGCAGCTTCCATAGTGTCTGTTTTTATCATAAGGAATTAAACCTTCAGATATCATCATTAGTATTGCCATTAATACTGTGGCAGTACAAGTACACATCAACTGGCTGGTGATGATAGCAACATTTTCTGACCTCTGAAAAAGTAGGCACCATGGAAGAGAATCACCCCTATCCACTGGTGATGCCTTGTCTGGTCAGGGAGTTTCTTTTTTATTTCATTCTTCTTTTTTTAATTCTGATTTTTGCCCCAGGTATAGAATACAATATCTGAATAAAGAAAGGAAATGCTGTAGCTAAAATCATGGAAGAAATTCTGAGTCCGTGGATAGAAGAACAAGGGAAACGGTTACAGATTGCAAACGGAATATGCAGTAAGAAAACAGAAGAGAAGAATCACCTAAATTTCTATTTTAATACCACAAATTTTAAACTATCTCCAAAACTGCATCATGTATCACAATTAATATCAGTTTAGTAAATAATAAAGAGGAATTAAAACTACTGCACCCAGCTTTCTTATGGAACAGACAAAATTCTATGAACTACCCGCCCCCAACACACAGGAGTTAAACACTCCACTGGAACTCAGTTGTGGGTGGGAAAGGTACATTTCCTTGAGTTTTATTTAAGAGGTTCTATAAGATATCTCGTAACAACCAAACAGACAATTCTGGGACGTATTTAGTAAAGAGAGTTTGGAAGAATAGGTTTTAAATACACTGAATATTCAGAACTGCCGACCACATTTTGGCCTTCTATGTAGAAGGTGGAAAATGCATAATTCCAGATCACCCAAGTCTTTCTACACACCTCGGGGAACAGAACTGAGAATCACTGACAAAACTGACCTTCCATAAGCGCAGACTCCTCACAAGACTCACATTAATACAACTACAAATGCTTTGTCTTCCTGACACTTACCCACACATGATTTTACTCAGCCTATCATGTATTCCTTTCAATAGCACACTTTCAAGACTTATTGTTAGGCAAGACACACATTTATGAGAACAAATAGCATCAGAACTAGAATCAGTATAGCAAGGTCAGAATTAACTTAACAGGATTCTTTATATCTCTAATTACTATGTTTAAGGTTTTAATATAAGAAAGCAAACCTTATGCAAACACATAGGGCTAATGAAACACAGGTATGAAATAATCACAATAAAACGTGTTACAGATCAATAAAACTAACAGAAATGAAGTGTAACTTTATATCAATTACACAGACACAGCAGGGGAGAGAATCTCAGTTCAAACACTGATAATGGAAACTACCCACACTAAGGAGCAAAGAGGAAAAAAAAAGAAACACTGATAATGGAAACTACCCACACTAAGGAGCAAAGAGGAAAAAAAAGAAATGAATGAATGAATGAATGAATGAATGAATGAATGAATGAAAAGAGAAAACCTTGGAGTGTGGTACAGTGGTAGAGGATTTGTAGAGTAGCATGTATGAGACTCAAAGTGTGATTCACTACACCACAGAAACAATGAAGAAACACACAAAAAAGAAGAAAGTATTCAGGAACTATGGGAAAGATCGTGTTTAGGGAATTATGTTGGTGAGACTTGATGGGTGTAGCTTCTGACATTCCCTGGAGACATAGTCTCATAGCAACTACCTGTTCCTCTGGTTACTTCAGAATTTAAATGTTATGTAATAAAAATCAGACATTGGAAGTGAGGCAGAGAAAGGGAAGGGCAGAAGAGAAGAAATAAAGAAATCTACTCATGTTCTTTTATATCCTTATTAACAAAACTAGAAAACTATCCTATAAAACTGTTAATGAACTTTTGAGGTAAGTTTCTGAGAATAGAGAATAGAAGTTATAATACTTTTCTATGATATCCACACATACAATAGGTCAATAGTTATCCTTGCATATTCAATTAATACATAATAATGTACAGAGAGCTTATTCTCATTATATATTTCGGCAATTCATTCATCATGATGTAAAAGATTTGAAAATTTTATAAAGAGTCAAATAGCTAAGTGCACAGTAATTGGAAAAAGTCATTAATGAATAGTATCCCAAATATAGAACCTGACAATATTGTGGTGTTCACTGTGTTTAATACTGTGATCTAGATGGTTCATATAAATGCATATGCAGTGGTCTAACTGAGACTCTGTGTTTGCAATCTTTTACTTTTTAAAAACATATATTATCTAAATTTGTATACATATGTGCATATTAATAGATGGGCATGTGTAAATAAAATACATAAATCATATTATACAGCTTTATGTAGTTATATTCCAAATACTGTGTCAGGAATTTGTGTTAATAATGCCTCATTGTGTACCCCCTAGTAGAGTCAGGCCTCAGTTCTATTTACACAATAAAAGGACTGAAAACCAAAATATAAGTTACCAGATACAATGACTGACAGATTAAAAGAAAGTCTCATAGTGATAATTAGCAAAATACAATTGGACAAGCTTCCATCATGACTTGAACTTCGTTTTTTAAAAATAGATTCTAAAATTTAAAGTTCTTCTTTATCAACATGATCTCTATTAGAAAACACTCAAAAAGAAGATAGGCAGAATATATGCGTGGGATATTTCTCTGAATTAATCTCCTAGAATGGGAATTTAAGAAGTTATTTTCTCTAAGCTAAAGTACTGAGAATAAAATTTCAGAGTGAAATGAACTGCCCTTGCCAGGAGAACTGGACACTTGTTTCAAATCAACCAATCTCTGCAAAGCTTCCCTAGCCCTGTAGTCAGTCACCTTTGTCTAATGCTCCACTGGCCCAACAATAGAAAACATCACCACTCCACTCACAGAGGGAGAAAGTAGGTCACCCTTTAGAGCTTTAAACTGTTTTACAACGTAACAATAGATAGTTTTATTAGCCTAGTTGACCTAACAAAACTCATCTTAAATAAACTTGATTGATTTTTACCTGAAAAACATCTGTTTCTAAAATTCTTGTTCCAAACACCATGATTCCATTGGTATCGACTATTGATCTCTCGCTTCTATCGAGAGGTTTTGTGATTTTCTTCTTACAATCAACAATCATTGTCACAGTTTTCTTCTCCACACTGATTGCGACCCGATGCCACCTGTAAAATGGAACCAATTCTTGAGTAAGCTGCTGAGGCTCTGTCTCCAAAATAAACAGACTCATTAGAACGTGAGTTTTAAATGGCAACAGTGAACTGAAACGGTACAAAAAACAGAGGCACACTTATGCCTCGGTGGTCTAGCTAGTGACAACTTCCTGCTTACCCAGGACAGCACCAACTACTCAAAGGGCACAGGTTCCTAAGATACAGGAATGCATCAGGCACCTGTGCTGATAAGGGCATGCCCACCCTCTGCTTCACTTTGTGTTTTCTGATGAGCACATCTGACAGAGATTGAGATGGATTTGGGTTTCTCTCCGTGCAAATTCTTTCTTCCAAAGTGGAATACCATGAAGAAAACTTCTGCTCTGGCGATCCCCTGAGAGTGACTGTGAAAGGGTTTGTCTCTTGACTGAATGGCTGCTCCATCTGGAGCAGCTGAATGTCCTAATTGTAAAACACAATGTGCTACTCTGTCCTGATCTCCATTTATTTCAAGTGTTTTCATGTTCTTTTTCCACTTTAATTTCAAGACAGTTATAGATCACCACTGTGGGCAGGATCCAAAACTGAGACACAATATCTCTTCTTTATTCCAGGTCTGGCAAGAAGAAGAAACACTGAAAGAAAGCAGAGTCAGCGCATGTGTGGAGTGGGAGGCTCAGTTCACTCTATAGCTACTGCCCCAGCTAATTCAGGGTGGTGATGACAGGCTTAGAAGGGGGAATGTGGCCAGTCCTTGGAAGAATGCATGCTCTCCCTGCAGCCTAAAAAGGGTTTTATTAACAATGTCTGGTGCTAACAGAAACCACTAAGAGAAATTCGCTTGGATTCTTTAAGCCACTGTGGTTTATATTTTCTTCCAAATGAAAAGTGCTAGATTAATATTCCAGAAGTGTCTAGGAGTAGATCCATAAAATAAAATACCCAGAAACTTGCATGAGTATTCCCAAATGTCTGTTTCATGATATTTGGCATGACTACTGGTGACGACCAAGTACATTTCCATATAGGCTTTGTGTTTGGTATTTCCACTAGCACCCTCAACTAGTGAAGCCTTGAGTAGAGTAAAGGATTATACAAGGAACCTTGGAGTAACTGCATACACTGAGAGTAAAATTTACACAAAGTTTATGCCAAGAAGCCTGTGTGCTAAGTTAAACCACTCCTAGTCTTCAGTGATGTTCTTTTCATTAGTAGAAAATAAAAATAACTTTAGTTGCTAAAATCTGATCTGAACTCTAAAATCAATTTTTTTACTTATTTTAAGCTGTGTTAATGAGATGACAAAAACCAAAGCGTTAGATAGATATAGCATTTTAAATAATAATAACTTACATAGTACAATATTAGCTCAGTTTTGAATCCTTAATTGCTCCTTTTCTTTCATGATATCTATATTGACAATAAAACATCATGAATTTTTATGATGAAACAAAAGCTGGTGATTCTCGGCTTAGTAGAAGCCATCACCTCTCTAGCTTATACTACTAACTGCTCTGTACTTTTCATGACTTTGTGACCCTAGCAAGCATCAAAACATGAATGAAGGGGCTGCATAATTAAGATGTGAGTCCAATCCCCAGCACCCATGAGAACAGGGACCTGGCAACATGCATTTCTAAACCCAGTGCCAGGATGGTAGAGACAGGTGGTCATCTGTTGTTTTATTACTAGCCATTCTAGCCTAATCCTCAAGCTAAAGTTCTACACTAGTGAGAGACTCCCTCTCAATAAAAGGGGGGGAGACAGGGAGAACAGTTCCTGAGGACTAACACCCTAAAGGTTGTCCTGGGTGTCCTATGGCCTCCACATACACATACCTTCAAGTGCACCCCCACTACCGCACACAGACATGCACCATGCCATGCATCAACATGTACAAAGATACACGTATTCTCTCTGTCTCTCCCTCTCTCTCTCTCTCTCTCTCTCTCTCTCTCTCTCTCTCTCTCTCTCTCTCTCTCTCTCTCTGTCTCTCTCTCTGTGTCTGTCTCTCTCTCTCTCTCTGTCTCTCTCTCTCTCTCTCACACACACACAGAGAGAGAGAAATGCAAACCATACACATGAATAAATCTCTCTCTCTCTCTCTGTCTCTCTCTCTCTCTCTCACACACACACACACAGAGAGAAATGCAAACCATACACATGAATAAATTAAATTAAATTAAAAGACATCAAATTAAATCTTTGAATTAAAGAAGTCCAGCAAATATTCACAGAGCTGTTCATTTCTATTCTTGTCTCTCTCATAGAAGCCTTCCTGGGGCTCTCACCTCCACCTCCTGCAAGTTTGCTTTCTGATATCCAGTTGCTGATCACAATCTGGTCTCATTACTGCTCCATGCAATCACACCATAGAAACACTCTTCCTTCCACATTCTCATGCAAACAGGGCCTTACTTCCTGTACTTTCTTCATAACAGCCTCTTCATAACATACTGCCAAGTATGAAATACTACTACTTAGTGCATTTTTTCCTTTGCTTTTATGTGGTTTTATTCACAGACATTATTACCAGTACTTTGCATTTAAGTTTATGTTTCATTGATCTACAAAATACTAACAATATTCACATAAACAAGGACAAGAGTGGAGGGGCTTTTCCTGCAATGTTCATGGCTTCAACACCTGTACCTTGGTAACTACCAGCAAAGTAATAGACAGTATATAAATACATATGGATTGATTAGTCAGTTATGATGAACTCCATGATTATTCTTAACAAACTAAAGTGTATTCAAATGCCAATAATTTTTGCATCCAACTCTTGTTATGTCATTGGATCTTAATAAAGCTGTCACATTTTAATAGTCCCAAGAAAAGACCATAGAACTTGTGCATAGTAAGCATCCGCTAATAAATTCCTGACACCTAGACACCTAGACACCTAGAGTAGAACCAAACAGGACTGACCAAAAAATGTTAATGAAATTATTCCTAATGATATTCTGCTATACTCATAATGCTCATAAGATCGGTGCCTAGCAGGCCAATAATCATGGAGGCTTCCTCCAGCAGCTGATCGGAGCTGATTCAGAGACCAACAGCTCAGCACTAGAGGAGCTATGGGAGCTCTGCGTAAAAGAGGGAGGAAGGATTGTAGGAGCCAAGGAGGTCAAGGACTCCTAATAATGGTAGTGGCCATGCCTCTGACTCTTTTTTCCTCCCCCCTGGGACCTATTTTCTCCTACTGGGTTGCCTAGCCCAGCCTTGATATGAGGGTATATACCTAGTCTTTTTACATCTTGTTATGTTGAATTCGGTTGATACCACTGAAAGGCTGCTCTGTTCTGAAGGAAAACTGAGGAGCAGTGGTTCTAGGGGAGAGGGGAGGTAGGAGGGAGATGGAGGGGAGGTTGCAGTTGGGATGCATTATATGAGGAAAAATAAATAAATAAATAAAAGAAAAAGAAAAATTAATGACTATTTCTACCTATTGATTTACTCATCATATTATCAAATAGTACTTTACCACTATAGAATGCATACATACAACTTCTTATCTATTTCATAATTGTTTCAAGATTGTTTACTGAGTCTTCCTTTTTTATTTTAAGAATTGGTCAAAATCCCCACAGCTATACGCTGAACTGAACTCTGGAACCCAGTTGCAGAGAAGAAGGAATGAAGATCAAAGGGGTTGGGACCAGGCTGGTGAAACCCACAGAAACAGCTGTCCTGAACAAGGGGGAGCACATGGACCCCAGATTACTGTCTGGGAGGCCAGCACAGGACTGACCCAGATGCCTGAATGTGGATGTCAATGAGGAGGCCTTGGCAATTTTTCCCTGGTGTAAGAAGGGACTTTGAGAGCCCATCCCTCGTGAAGGGATGTTCTCTTGGCCTGGACACATGGGGGAGAGCCTAGGCCCAGCCCAGCATGATGTGGTGGACTTTGGGGAGCCCCCATGGAGGGCACTACCCTCCCTGGGGAGCAGAGGGGGAATGGGGTGTGAGGCTGGTGGGGAGTTGGCAGGGAGGGCAGGGAGAGGGAGAAGGGATTGACACAGGAAGCAAACTTGTTCCTAATTTGAACTAATAAAAAAAAAAAAGAAGAATTGGTCAAACTTAAAACTATTGCTATGAATTTAGATCAAGGATACACTAAGATTTTTTCTAGTTTAAAAGACAGCATAGATGACCTGAGCAAGGGGGGTTTCACCTACCCAAGACTGACAACTGGGGAATTAGCATAAGACCAAACCAGACTCCTTGAATGTGAGTATCAGTTGGGGGCTTGGGCAATCTATGGGGCCTCTGGCAGTGGAACCAGTATTTATCCCTAGTGTACAAATGGGCTTCGGGAGCCTATTCCCCCATGGAAGGATACACTCTTAGCCTAGATACACCGGGGAGGGCCTGGGTCCTGCCCCAAATGATATGACAGACTTCGATGATTCCCCCATGAAAGGCCTCACCTTCCCTGAGGAGTGGATGGGAGCGGGGTGAGATGGGGGTTTGATGGCGGAAATGAGAGGATGGGAGGGAGAGGGAACTGAGATTTGGTATAATATATAACATAAGAATGTTTTAAAACTTAAGACAACATAGATTAAAAATATTTCAGCAATATGATGCATTAAAAATATCTCCTATACAACTCACTGTGCATGATCATCCCCAGTTGATAATAGTATGAGCCCTATACTTAAGGATCAGGGAACATCACATAAGAATAGGCAGGAATGTAAGAACCAGAACCTGAACATTTGCTATAAGATAGAGTCTTCTATATATGAGAAGGAATTGTGCACATGAAATCTTACCAATCCAGTCACCTAAATGAAACCTGAACAGTGGCAATGCCAGTTGACATGCCAGTGTGCATGGGAGAATTCTCACAAGGTCCAAGCCCTACAGGAAGAGCTACAGGCAATTAGCCGCTGCTAAAATAGGGAGAGTCAGTCTTATCCAGGAATGAGCCTGATGATATGTGTTCTTTCTTTCCACTATGTCATTCCCAGGGATTAAACCTAAGTGGACAGGCTTGGCTGCAAGTGCCTCCATCCACTGAACCATCAGAACCACTGGTCTTCCCTCATCTCTGTTCTTTTTTTTCCCTCCATTTTTATTTGAATTAGAAACAAGATTGTTTTACATGTCAATTCCAGTTTCCTCTCCCTTCCCTCCTCCCCTGCCGCACCCAACTAACACACTACCTATCCCATACCCTTTCTGCTCCCCAGGGAGGGTGAAGCCATCCATAGGGGCTCTGAAGGTTGTTTTACATGTCAATTCCAGTTTCCTCTCCCTTCCCTCCTCCCCTGCCGCACCCAACTAACACACTACCTATCCCATACCCTTTCTGCTCCCCAGGGAGGGTGAAGCCATCCATAGGGGCTCTGAAGGGTCTGTCATATCCTTTGGGATAGGGCCTAGGCCCTCTCCCATGTGTCTAAGATGAGTGAATATAACCTTTTTTTGGAATAGGATTCCAGTGTCCCTTCCTATGCTAGGGATAAGTACTGATATACTAAGAGGTCACATAGATTTCCGATGCCTTCTCACTGACACCACATTCATGAGGTCTGGATCAGTCCCAGGCTGATTTCCCAGCTAGCAGTCTGGGGACCAAGAGCTTTCCCTTGTTCAGGTCAGCTGTTTCTGTGGGTTTCACCAGCCTGGTGTGGGCCCCTTTGCTCATCACTCCTCCTTCTCTGCAACTGGATTCCAGTTCATTTCAGTGTTTAGCCATGGGTGTCTGCTTCTACTTCAACCCGTTGATGGATAATCAGTTTGATGACTAACTTACATGCCATCCTATAGCCCTCATCTCTGTTGTTAAGGTTGCAACATTTTTTAATTTCCTGTTGTCATCACTGCACTGCTTTTCTCTCTCATCCACACAGGTTTTCTTTTTTTCTTTTTTTTTATTTTTTGTCTTTACCTGTACAGACTATGAAGTAGACTACACAAATATTGGGGATTTTGTGGTGGTCTTTTGGGGTGTTTTCTATCAATAGCATCAGAAAGACAGTTGAATGATTAATGAAAAGTTTCAGCATAGCTAACACTCTCTCACTGTGTGACTTACTTCCCATCAGCGATGTTAACTGTTGAGAACAGGGGATAGTCTTCAGGGCTGGGTTTCCCATTGTGGTCTTCAAACAGAAAGACAGGTGATCTCCCAACCTCAACACCAAGTTGCTGAATACCGTGTTCATTATATATTGATAAAAGGAAAGCTTGGGTTCCTTTTTTGGGTTTTATTGTAAATAGTATTGAAAAATCTACAGGAAAAGTTCCACCTGAAAAGACAAAAATGAGTTAGGAAGTCCAGATTTCTAAATTGTTCCTAGGTCACACTTTTACCTGAACATTTTATATGACTCAGATAAATAAACAGGAAACAGTTAAACTAATAGTGTGGTTGTGAAGGGGACCATATGACTATCAAGTTTTCTCTGTATATTCATTCGAGTTAATGTCAAAGCCATTTATTTAAAGAATAAAGATTATGAGAAATGGAGTCCATAGTCAGAAAGATCATGCTAAAAGTACAATTTCAAATGTAGCAGAGAACTCCTCTAAAAATTTTAATTATCGTTTAAGATGTGCTTTTAATTTTTTCAAGCAAAGAAGGAATTGTCTGTGAGTGCTGGTGACTGTGAACTGCCCAGTGTAGACACTAGGAATAGAACTCTGATCCTCTAGAACAGTGTTCACTCTTAGCCATTGAGTCCCTTTCTGGTCCCTATTTTTATATTTTAATTATGTGTAACTGTGTGCCTGGATGCATGACAGACATCAGATTATCTGGAACTGGAGCTTCATTCATTGTGGGCCACCACCTGGCAAGGGTGCTGGGAAGTAAACTCCATACCACTGCAAGAGCAGTAAGGGCTCTAAACAGCAGAGGCATCTCTCCAGCCCTGGAAAACAATCCTCAAACATTTATTCAGCCACCACTTTTGATATAAGCTTTGTATTTCTAAGCCTTGACCTCACTTTCCCATACATGCTCTTTGTAAAAAGACACTGTAATAAGATAATATAAAGGCATTAGTTTCATCATCTATGCAAACACCTAGGAGATTTTTTTATCACACAATTCAGTTTCACCATTGAGAAGCATGCCACTGAAAATCAGAACTGCTAAGCAATGAAGGAATAATATCATTTTTGTTTTCTTTTTCCATGATCTTATCTCAAGTACCTAGCCTACTGCCTGAGCTACACAAGTGCTTACTAAACATATGTTGAATACATCAATTTGAGGATTGCCTTAATATGTGTCTCTTATACTTGGACTGTTTGTAGTATTATGGACACATTACACACTATGTGGTAGGTTTTATTTTTCAAAGTAACAATAAGTATGATATATAAGCACTATTCACATGTATATACATATATTATGTATTTGATTGTATGTAATACATAATATATATTACAACATCATTTAGAAGAAATTTATTACTTCAGTTAAAATATTATCCATTACAAAATAGGTATTTTGTTATGGATTATGTCTGAGCCAATACCAAGAGCTTTCATATTAAATTCATTGATTTTTAATACAATTACAGGTTGTAATATGAAATGATTTTTTAAAAGGCACTGTGAGTAGGACTATCATACATTCAAAGATGACAGAGATATATAGTTCTTTTTCTGTTCATGAAGAGAAGATGCTTATTTGCAAGGATACTGTTTGCATCTCATCAAAGCATGATTTATTATAGCATAAATGTTTCTTTCAAATAGACTTAAATGACTGAAGATGGTTCAATAAATATCATTCAAAATGGAACTTTATGAATCTGCTACAAATAGCAATGAAAGAAAGATGTTTCCTGATAGAGAAATCTTACAAATTTATTCAAAGGGGAACACTGACAGGTAGTGTGGATATATATTTTTACATTGCACATATACACATAAATTGGTAATATAGTATCTTAGTTAAAATGTTGGGGTATTGGGCTAGTAAGATGGCTTCATAGGTAAGGGACTTGCTGCCACACCTGATGACCTGAGTTCAATACCCAGGACCACATGGTGGAAAAAGAGAAACAACACTTCTAAATTGTCCTCTGTCACATACACACACATGCATGTATACGCTCGTGCGCGTGCGCGCGCGCACACACACACACACACACACTCATATAAATGAATTTAGACATGCACACAAATAAAATGTCATTATCCTGGGTGTTGTCAGATACATTGGCCACAAGATATTTTTGTCATATGTTCTTAAAATATTATATAATGTCCTTTAACTGAGCTAATAATGTAGACTTAACTCTAGAGCTGCTATAGAAATTAAGTAGCATGCCACCAAAAAGGAGTCAAATAATGTTGACTAATATTTGTTGGTGTTAACTAATGTTGACCAATGTTAACTAATGTTGGCTAATAATGCTGTCTCATATTTTTAAACTAAACAAAATTCCACAATAAAAAGTATTTGTTTTCAATTTCTCAAGCGATCAAATCATCATTTCTAACCAGTTGAAATGAATCATTCATGTGCCTATACAAATGTATATTGTTCAACTGGAATTTTTACTTAGTATGATGATTAAACCCAGGATCTCATATGTACTGCTCAAGAACTTCACCTCAAAGTACATCTCTGTTTTCTAACTTGATTTAAACATAGCAGGAAATTTTAGTTTTATTTGGCTTTAATTTCATAGTTTTATGAAAACCACTAGGGGATAAATCATAAAAGTAAAATGGAAAAACTATAAAGCACATCACTTAACAACAAGCTTTATTTTTGCTATGCTATTGAAATATATAATCAGGTAATTCAGTCTATTACTGAATAGGGCCCAAGGTAAATAAACTCAAATTTTCCATGATCTCATAGTGAAAAAAATAAGACATCAAAACATTATGATCTGGGGAAAAATACTTTGTACATCTTAACCAAAAAAGTGAATAAGTCTATGTAGAGACATTCAGGAAAGGTAAGATATCAGAAACAATTGTACTCATATAATAGTAAGGGGATTTTGTGAAATTTTAAAAAGCCATTGAAATTGTGCATCTAAGTTCTGAAAACTCTATCTTGTTAATATAGTACTGAGTCTATACTACATTAAATACATGAAACAGTCATCAACACATAGTGAGCACATCAAATGTAAAATTTAACATCTTTAAAAATCCATATTTTGAAATATAAACACAGATTTTAGACATGCTTAATGACTGTTGTTAAAAGTGTCAGTGTCCAATGTTTGATATGTACATTTATCTAGAAGAATGTGTCTATAATAATTACCATGATTATCATAAGGTTCAGCCACAACTCTTAGAATAGGTTTAATATCAATAGATGTTGCTTTCATTAATAAATAATATGTAAAATGGCATAATAACAATGACCTTAAGAATTCAAAATTTTGTTCAATATTTTTCCAAGCAGAATGTATCTTCCAAAATTCTCTGTGGTGGTGATGATTCAGTGATACTCTATACTATAACTACCATTATATTTAAATACATCATATTGGTCTAGTGCCTTAGATGGTTAGGCATTGCTACTTAGGTAAAATTCTTCATCTATCCAACTCCTCATCTATTAATTGAACTTAAATATCCTCTTTAGTGGTTTTGACTATGTAAGTCAATATACATGTTTTTCAGCAGGATATTTATATATATATCAGGTATTCCAAAGGTGGCAATGAGAATTTGAAAAACAAATGTTTTATTTAATTTAAAAGTGCACATTTTCAGATCTTCCAATTTTGTCTCATCCTGGAGCTTTGGAGGACATACATTTTCATTCAGCAACAATATATTACTCTCTCTTCCTGATATAACTCCTTCCTTGCAATGATGACTGCTGAAGTGTCCAGTCCTCCAACTGTGTTCATCAGAAAATGCACTGCTTTTAAAATAATTTTCTCTGATTTACTATTTATAATGGTGAGATTATCATTATTATCTTTAATTACTATAAATGAATAATTTTCAGGACATTCTCCTGTCCAAGAAGGAATGTATAGGAGATGCCTATCATAGGAGTCTCTTACTGAAATAGTTATTGTTAAAACCATAGGCCAGAACACAAGTGCTAACTGGAGTAAAACATTCATACACATAATTTCTGTTAACTGGAGTAGAAGAAGATTCCACAAGCATACATAATGGTCACTCTCCATGAAGAAATGCTCAAACACTAAATTAATTAAATTAACTACCATGATCTTGAGATAATGAGTCAATTATAAAAATATTATAAAATGTATCATATTTAGTATTTCTAGAAGAGTTCCATTAGTTTGCATTCGTTTTATTTTCTATTCAAAATTATTGTTTTCCTCCTAGATATAGAAGATACATAGTTAAATGAAAAGGTGAAAGTAATGTTACTATGATTTTTTTTTAATTTAAAGTGAATTTCAAAATATAGTATGGACTTAATATTTTAAGAACTTTTAACCTTTAACTTTTAAGTGCAGTCAATTTTTCATTACAGTATTTTATGTCAATATTTTGCTTTTGTCACCAAAACCTAATAAAAATCAGAAAATATAATGGAAATTTTAATAACTGCCCAAGATAAATGTGTTTTCAAAATACTTTAAAACAGGGTATGGTGATTCCACAGGAGGCTAAGACAGAAAGATCACTATTTGGTCATTTGAAAGCAGGCCTCTACTACACAGTGAGGCCCTATCTGGCACACTGCTTATAGCAGAAAGACACACACACACACACACACACACACACACACCAACACACACACACACACACACACACACACACACACACACCATGAAAGAAAGAGAGAGAGAGAGGGAGGCAGGCAGGGAGGGAGGGAGGGAGGAAGGAAGGAAGGAGAAAAGGAAGAGGGTAAAGAGTATATATCCTTCCATGAAAATGATATTTTATTTATAATATTGAATTCCTTTATCATGTTTTCTGCATAATTTAAAAATTGATGCATGAAGTCAGATATGAGTTCTTCAGATAATGAAAGAATAGACACTATGGAGAATTAAACGTTAAGAGAAGTAAGCTAAAAAAGAATAGAAGTAGTAGTAGCAACAGGAGCAAAGATAAAATGAACATACCTGGAAATAGCTGTTTCGTTGGGGCACTGATTTGTGCTTCCTCTGTAACTCTGTAAGCAATATCTGAATCTTTAGAATTCTTTCTGTTTGTACAAAATCCTGTTGTTTTAGATATCCCCACTGGAGAATTGTGAAAATCTAGTGCTTTTAGTATATCAACTGGAGCAGCTGAAAAAAAATAAGTGAAAATAATTGAATAATTTAAATAACAATACTTTTTAGTTTCAGTATTTAATTATTAAATTTGTTATATAACAATTCTATCCATATATAATATAATGCATTCTGATTGCTCTCTCCCCATCCCTTCTCTTAAAATTTAATTCTACCAAAATTTCTTTGTCCTTTTTAGTGCCTTTCTCAGATTTTGTGACCTGATTTGTTTCACTAGGGCCAAGTGTATGACCACTGGGTTGAACCATCCACTGGAACTAATTGATTCATTGGTGGTTACACAAATGAAGTCAATGATACCTCTTCTCTTCCTGAATCTATTGGTACCAAATGCTCCCTAACATGCATCTTAACTCTTTATTCTAGGGATTTTAGGAAAGTAATATCATGAATGATCTCAAAACAAAAAAGTAGCATATAACTTCAGAACCCCAATAGTTATATATCCAAAGAATTCAAAGTGAGTTCACTATAGTATTATTCATTATAGCAATAAGTCTAAAACAAAGTGTGTCTCCTATAAATGGTGAGTGAATGAACAGTATGTGATATATATTATATTTAGTTATTAAAAGTAGTGAAGCTCTGATAGAGGAAATCACCTGACTAGATCTTTGTGGTGCTGGGTATGCTGACCCCATGACAACATGGATAACCTTCAAAACACTGATGGTTCACTACATAGCATAAACCAGAAAAAAAAAAAAGATATATTTGGTAGCTTTGGACTTTCAAAATCCCTAGTCCAAACAATTAATTTAATCCACTGAGAAAATACATGAATCAAGTGGAATAGTACTTGTTTGCAAATGAATATTGAAACCCATAATGCCAATATGCTTATGATATATTAACTCCTTTCTGTATTCAAAAATAAACAAAAATGTTCCAAGTAGTTCATGTGCTGGCCAATTTGTATTTCAGCATGCCTGAGACATAGTCCTTAAAATACTGAGATTCTAATGGAGCCAGCAATAAAATGTTTCAATAACTAGGTAAGAAGTCATGTCTAACTTGTAGGAGTGTACAAAAAAATGTTATCTTGTTCACTTATGACTAAAAGCTCTAGCTAATACAAAGGACTGCAATAGTGAGCTCTTAACAGCCACTACCACTATACTGCACCTCTTAGAATGTTGTTTATGTCAGGACTTAGTCAGAAAGAAATTGGGATTGATTCTAGAAACAGGGAGATAGCATCATTACATCTTTTCTCCAAGGACAGACTAACCAGCATCTGGCTATTCAAGAATTACCATTTCAATAAATATTTACTTACAATTATCAGTCAATTTGTCACAGAATGTATGAAGGAACAACTGAATGAGAGTTGTGAACTAGATGTACAAGAACATTCCCTGAGTTTATTAACTCAAGAAGGACTGACTTGGACATCTGCCAACAGACATAGGTAGAGTTTTATCGACCCGGCCTTACATGGTGTCATGAATATAATTTGCTCTAATAACAAATCCATGTGCACCTATGTCATGTAGCCTACAAATGAAAATCCATACACTATTTAATGTAGCATACAGTGTGATTATTGGAAAGAAAAATATCTTTGTAGAAATAAGAGAGGATGAAGTGATCAAATACAGAGGCCTTTTTTAGTTCAGTCTTTGAATATTTATTTCAAAATTTGACTAGTATTTGAAAAACTTTGTTTTCACTAGTCCTGCTACAAAAGGTTGTTTTTAATCAATTCTTGCTGTCCTATTTTTTCAAGTGATAAAACTAGGAAAATAATATTTATACTAAGTGTCATGTACAAAGACCCTATATGTGGTTTGTAACCAGACTATTTCCTTAAAGGCACAAACCTTCACAAATTTTGTGTCTTTTCCTGATATGCAGAGGAGAGAACTGAGCATCAAATATTAAGCTACAGATACTCTCAGGGTCTGTGTAAATCTCAAGCCTGTTTTTTTCCACCCCCATTCTTGCTGTAATAACCCACAGATGAAAACTACAAAAGAAAACTTAAAACATACTTAAAATAGTCTGAAATTATTGTAAGACAGCTAATTGATTCCTGATGTTGATATTTACTTTAGATTAAATGCAATTTACTTTGTAGGATAGAAATTACTCTGAAAGAGAATGTGACTGAAAACCAGGGCACATTATCTGCTTATTTTATTTTTCTTCTTGCTCAAAGTTGAGCAAGACTTCAGAACAGACGTGAACAGAGCCTAGAAGGCTGCAATTCCATGATAACAGGCATCAATAGAGTTTGAGACCAGCCTGGTCTACAAGAGCTAGTTCCAGAACAGGCTCCGTAGCTACAGAGAAGCCCTGTCTCAAAAAAAATCACTTATTATGTATAATTACGTATATCTTAAACATTCAATCTCTAATATTCGAAGTTACTCTTAGATGTTCTTAGTATTTTATTTCTTTCATGCCTCCATCATTAAGCATTTTCTGGCACATATAATTCAGTAATTCAGTTCAGTAAATTTTGCCCCTTCTTCTCATGTATACTATAGGCTTATCAAACAGGGATACAGGACACAAGAGCCTGATTATTACTGTGAACGTCATTTAAAGGGCTTCCATGTTTTCCCCATCCATTTGCATTCCACTGCTTGATTGAGCTTCCTAAATTCCATGGTTCAAGCTACTCTGCTGCTTGAATTCCTTCAGTGAACCCCACTGACTTCCAGATGGCATCCACATTCCACATTCCTTGCAGAGAAAATCTTGATGATCTAGTCATACCGAATTTTCCTCTTAGTTCCAGCCCCCACCCCACCAAACCCAGTGCATGTCCATTCTGATGTTGGAATACCCAGAAATACCCAGAAATTCCACCCAGAAATACCACCTGTCAGTGCTGTAGAAATACTAGTTGAGACTAAAGAAATTAATAGTACATACTTTTGTCTACTTTGGGGCTTTACATATCCTTATCCACTATCTGAAACAATTAACACCACTTTGTCTGAGTGGGAGGGAGGAGATAACCAAGATGGTAAATTTAAAAAGCATTATTTCTCTCCTGAATCTTAGTCTTGTGTGCTTATCCTGGCATTGCACCATTCACAGTTATTTGCCTACTCTTTGGTTTGTATTCCCAAATTAGAAGATAATAGATTTATACACAGAGATGTGTACCACACTCACACACTCACGCATAAATGAGTCTGTACCCAACATATAAACACACACATAGAGGGGAGTATATAAAATGCTGACCAAATGAGCAAATTACAAGAGACAGTGTATTGAAATGTCGTTATCTAAGTTCCATGTACTTTCTCATCAAGAAACAAGACTTGTAAAGATCTCAATGGACTTTCTGTGTGTTTCGTTGGCCTCTTGGACATCCCCATCATTTCAGCAGTTTGTTCCCATGTTTTTGATCCTGTATTTCTGTTACCTGCAGCATCCATATTGATCATCTATCTAACGTCTCTCAATACTTTGATTGTGCTGTTCCTTTGGTATTTCTTCCCCAAACTTCTCTATATGCTGCTGAAGCCTATGTGATATAGTGTTGGAAATTATGACTACTTCTGAGTTCTACCTCTGCCATTTAGTGTATGTGTTATGAACACAGAAAACTATCACACTCTGTGTGCCACAGTTTCAAAAACAAAAGAAAATGACAATAATTAAAAATCTTGATCTCAAAGACCTGTTTGCCAGCTGGATTTGTTGAAGCCTTGAAGAACTGTCTTAGAACACAATTCTAATGACCAACACTGCCTTCCTACATGGATTTTTATATGGTACCTGACATAATATGGTTTTACATTTTAAATGGCTAAAGACCTTGTTAGACTTGAGAATTACTGTATGCAACTTATACTCAGTGTCTACCTGGGAAGTCTTAGAAACATCTACACTCATTCATTTATCTGTTACCCACAGCTCTTTTTACACACTACTGTCAGTTCTCCATGGCTTCAGCAAGGTCTATACAGATCATAAAATCAAAGTATCTGTACTTTTTGTGCTCTCTCTGTCTCTGTGTCTCAGTCTCTCCCTCCCCCCCCAACTTAGGATTGGATTTAGGGCCTCAGACATTCCAAACACTCAATTGACCTATATTTTCTGAACAAAATCTTACTAATATCTTTCTTCTACACCTTAGACATACCAAAACTAATTTTTTTTAATCCAATGCACAGCCAGTAATGAGATCTGGTAAATTTAGATTTACTACACATCTTCATCTAATCCTAGAACACAGAATCATTCAGGAAACCTTACTCCTTTTAGTAGTCTATATGACACTATTGTAGTGCCTCATGCTCCCCTAGGTAACACATAGTTTGTGTTTGTTTAATTATCTCTTTGTGACTTTGTATTGCATGCATTTAGACATGGATTAAGTCACAGAATTATTTCCCCATGCACACCACCTAAATTTTCTGCCATTCCTCTCCTTTCTTGACCCCCACACACCAAGTAGGCAAAGTGTAATAAAAAACAATTTAAAAAACTATAATTCTAATACTATGAGATATAGTATTGATCCATGATGGGAACCATAACATATAAATATGTTATAATTTACTGACTACCAATATTCTGACAGTTTTTCAAAACTCGCAAGATTCCTTAACAAAAGTAATCTGCCAACTATATTTCTCTAGCTAAAACTGTTGAAGTTCTAACTCAAGCTCAGAAACTATTATCTTTCTAGATGCACACATGTGTATGTTAATGTGCATGCCTGTGCTTGTGTGACATAGGTTAACATGACATGACTTTCTCTAACACTCTCTTTCTTTTTGCAGACAAGGACTCTCCCTAAACCCAGAACTCGCTGATTCAGAGCTGAGCTGCCTGGCAGTTGAGCTCCTAGGATCCATCCATCTCTATACACCCTTACCTAGTGCTGGAGTTAAAAATTCACCCCACCACACCCAGCATGTACATGAGTTCTGAGGATCTGAACTCAGGTCCTGCATGCTGTATAGCAAGTGCTCTCTTCATGAAGTGATTTCTACAATCCCAGCAGTTAATGACTTTGTGTAAGC